AGCTCCATCCGTCCCGCTAATAGTATGTGCAATTCACTACAAGTAATATTTGAAGATGAAATAGTATTGTATTTACCCCTCTTTGACATAAAAAATATAATTATGAGGAACCTCCATATTTGAGCATTTAGGATGCAGAGTTTAAATGTACAGTCGTTCTTCGCCAAAAGCCTAAATACTTCCGAAGTTCACCCAAAACCGTAGCGAAAGTTGCATCGTGGAAACAATAATAGCTGCACCTGCTTAGATAAGATTATTGTAAAAAAAAAACCACTGGCTTTTGTTATATAAGCCGAACCTATCCTAGTTTTTGACCCACTTATACACTCTCGTGACGTGTCACTGATTTCGCCGGCTGGCTGGGCGATCATAATGTCCATGTACTTCCATTCAGAAGGAATCTATATCGGCGTTCCATTGATCTGATCCTTTTTTCCCGACCACTCCGTGGGATTGGGGCAGTGGAAGCGGAACAGTTTTGAAAGGGGGGGGGGGCCAAAAGCTGGCCGGCCGTTGGACATTCGAAAAGCGGGTGTTGGGGGAGTGCTGCACCTCATTCATCGAAGGGGGGGGGGGCCCTTTTCCACGAGAAGGCCTATAATATTTTGGCACCTACCAAGAGGAGGAGGGGGGATGCCCAGTGGCAAAAGTGTGTGTGTGGGGGAGGGGGGGGGGGCAATGGCTTCCCTGGCCTCTCCGGTTCCGTCGCCAGTGGATAAGGGGTAATTGTGTCAAACTGTCTGCCGCGTTTTTGTTTTCGAAATTTCACGGTACCCGATCCAACTAAAGAGCTCGCGAGTTCGAGTGATTTTTTTCTCCCTTTGCATGAAGGGGGTTGCTTTGATTATCGAACGGGATTATTTGGCGGTTTGCCGCTTGTTGTGTGTCTTGTACAAACACTCAATCTCACGTTATGAATTAAAGCTTCGCAGTATAAGACAATACAGTCGGCTGTATAGAAGACAGCGACGTACGGGTGTAGGCCTATGAAAGATGAAACTTATGAAAGATTTGCTTGAAAGCTTATCAATTTCAAATTGTCGTTTTACAACTGTTCCAGTAATCTTAACTATTCCAAACATATATGCCGCACCAAAATGACAAATGTCATTGTTTTTAACACTGTAAACACTTTAAGACTGCAAAAATATTATATTTTTAAGCATTATTATTTCATCCAACAATTGGCCACAGTTCGCGTAAAAATTTTGGGGGAAAAAGTTGGCACAAAAGTATAGCTGTTCATATTTTGACCACCGTTGGGCAATGCGTTGGCGACAATATTGCCCAAATCGGGGTCTTCATAATAGGCCTATGAGATTTTGTCATGATCAACTGGAATATGTAGGGCTGCTATATTGAAGTTTATCGTGACTGCAAAAGTGAATGGGTTTGAAAATTCATCACTGAGACTTTGTTTTATTTACATCTAGGTCGCCGATCGACGATGCATTACAACATAGGCCTACTTTGTTATACGTGCTTGATGCTTCAAGCTTGCAACCAACATGTGCGCCATCGAGATCCTGTCGTTGTCTATAAAACCACTTAACTCTATTGGCTGGTGTAACTTTGATCGCTGGCGACGCACAACAGTTCTACCAAAAACAGCCTGGGGTCAATTCCAGAGATGATATGAAATATGTGTGTGCACTTTGGAAGAAAAGGTCAATGTTTTGATTGACAAAAAACCTTGCATTTAGCCGTAACTGCTACAGTACTGATCTTTGTCTGTAAAGGGGGGTTATACCGTCAGCTTAAAATGGCAGTCTACGCACAATGCTTAAATCTCGTTCTGGAAAAGCCAATTTCAATGGTGTATGAAATGTAAAGGAAAGCCCATATTAACGTTACGGCACAAAAGGGTACAGCAGTTACACAACAGGAAACAGCGACTTGTGTTCAGCTATGTTTGGCTTAATATGTTCCTTGTGTTCGCCGAATACGGCGTGCACGTAAGTGGCGACATGCTGCCGCAGTTTAGGCACGCCAACAAAAGCAAGAAAACTTTCACTTGATAATAGACGCTAGGCCTACATGATGTGAAAAATAAATGGCCGTTTCTTACAACTTTTGTTTTGTATGCGTCATCAGACCAATTTAAATGCGGGAGCCTTACACCATAACTCTCCCAAGTTTCGTTCGTCAAACGTAAAAAAAAAACCCACTTTGGCCACGTGTCTTATTTCATAAAGGTGCAAAACAAAGCAAAATCATAATTTAAATAAGTCACAAAGTTTTGTGTGTGAAAGATTTGTGAAATTATTCTGCATCCTCTGCATCATAGAAGCATGGATAATCGAAGCAAAATGTCAGTAGTACTTCAAATTACTCATCATGTTATAAATTGATCGCTGCCCCCTGCTTTTATGAGCCAGTTAAATGTTTACGGATCCTCTCTAATTTAACTGCTAATGGTTGTCTGTCGCTCGTAACGAACCTTCCAACATACAGAACAATGTTCAAGAATGGAACCACCACTGCATACTTCATATAGGGGAAGGTCCTCAGTATGTACATTTCCTCAGCTCTAATTTGGATGCGATTAACTTGTGTGTTCTGTGGTCGTGAAAAAAACATATCTGTATCTGTATATTGTTAAATTTGACGCATTTTTCAGTCTGAACCCCCCCCCCCCTAATTGTGCTGGTCCCCGGTGTAGCTTGCAATCCTCTTCACAGCTATCTCACTGACTCACTGCCTGACTGTCGTGCACTTTAATGTACTTACTCAACCCTCACCTTGGCCGAAAAAAAAGGATCTCGGACGACTACGTACCCTCGGACCAAATTGGTCTGGACCAACGTTATGGCTGCTTAATCTTGTTGGTTAGGGCGAGAGCTAGACGAGAAGAAATGAAACTACCCCAAGACTGTGAATTTGGAAATTGGCAACTATTATCAGCATTTTAGTCGAATAGGCAAATTAAGGTGAAGAGGTCAGTCACCGCGTTTTCTTAAAAAAAAGTGACGTAAAAACATGTGAAATCCCCTGCACAGGCAGCAGCAGCAGCATTAAAACACTACCCCAGCCAAGCCTCACTCGGCGGGAATAATTCCCCTGGATTGCCGTATAACAACAGTGTCACTTCCCGTGCGGCACCTGTCGACAAATTTCCCTATTAGCGCACATTAACCCCTGGTTGCGAGGCCATCTGGACCGAAAATTAATCTTAATCTTTCCAAAATATTTTCCTAATATTGTTTTGGAATGCACCGCGCTGGCTGGCGAACTTGGCGATGGTAGTTTTGGCTCACATGTGGCCCCGTAAGTCAGTCTGCGAACAAGTCCGCGATCCTTTTATTTTTTGGCACGGTACTGTTTTCAGTTTAGAGTGGCCTTAGAGATGCAGACTGTTTTCGGGTGGTTGAAACTACAGCTCAAAAGCAGACTTCTGTTTGTAATAAGTTCTTCATCCGTTCATCGGCAGAAACAAGCATGTTATCATTGTACAGATTGTTTCGCAGGAAAATGTGTGAGATGGCTTGGAGCTTCTTAAGTGCTTCGGAGGATGTGTTTGTGTACCATGTTTGCCCACCAAAAGTAGCTGGTTATCTTAGCAATCTTTAAGACTGAAGGAGTCGTAGGTCATCGTTATTGCACGTTCGTGCCAACGTAGACAATCGTAATTATAAAGAGACAAAATAGGGGAGCGATCGCGTTTTGGTTTGGGCACATTCCTAAACTTAACATTCGTCCATGATATTAAGCACTGATGAAAATGGATCATCTGATCCCGGAAGGATGGTATTGACACTTAAACCCACCTGTGAGGCACCCGAGGCCCACTTAGCCCGCCATGGCATGCTCTCAGCGGGACTGCTGCCAGTCCGACCGGGCTAGTCAACCGACCCTCTCCCACGGACTTCGGTTACTCCCCGCTGTCTACTGCCGCTTCGTGGCAGTCCGGGGTCGGGATACAAGATCAGAAGAACATTGACACGACATTTTTTCCACCCTTCATTGTTTTCTCTTTTTTATGATATTATTATTCTAATAAACCGATCGGGTAAAAAAGTACTTCAGCGATTTTTGGGCCTGAGGCTGAGTGATGGCCCAGTGGATCTGGGAACGTGTCGGCGGGACAGAAGCGTGCCGGCCCGGTGTAAGCACCACGCGGAGAGACCGCTAACTCGGTACAGAGGCCCGAGGGGATCGGACCGGCTTGGGTTTTAGGTTTGGTGTTCCGGTACCGGAGTGCACCGTTGCTCCCGTGCATGTACAGAGACCAGCGATAGCTGATACGGGCATCCTGGGGAGGAGCGAACCGTATACGACAGGTGCTTACGCCACGGGGTACGCGTGGAAAACTTCTTGGTTGGGGTGCTTGGGACTCTAAACAACTCGGCTAGTGGACCACACAGCCATAACCCAAACCATTAACTGCCCGCCCTCGTGTCATTCCCCCCGAAGATGTTTGAATATTCCTTGTATGCGTTGCGCAAAAGTGACATGTATTCAGGGGAAATGGAGGAGGAAAAAACCTGATGTAGTTCTTACGATCCAAGGCCGTCATCTGAAGAAAATGGTTACTCTATCTGATTGTAACCTGAAGTCATTTGGTTGAACTTGGCCGTGTATCGAGTTGCGTGTCACATTTTGACGAAAGTGCTTGTAAAACCGACACACGAGGAATTAATACCCCCCCCCCCGCCCCCAAAAAAAGACAAATAGAAAATCAGCAGAAAATTGAACGATTTTGTAATGACAACATTATTAAATCAGTTCGTTTGAAAGATGTGATGAACTCCTTTCTTTATTTAAGACACATCAAACTGTTTATGAAAAAAATCTCTATTTGTTTTGCTATAGGTCTTTTGTCTCTTAATAGCCACCCTCCCCCCGGAAAATCTTGGACTAGACTTCAACCTTTCCCCTTTGGAATACTCGGAAATCGAACAGCTAGCTGTACTCCTTTAAAATCAGATATTCTTGTGTTACTTGTGCCACACTAAAAGTTAGAACCTAGTCCTAAACATTGTCGATGTTTCCGTTCCCAGGTTACACGGCCAATTACTGCGAGGGAGACTGCCCGTTCCCGCTGGACCTGAACTTCAACGCCACCAATCACGCCACGGTGCAGGCCATCCTACACATGCACACGGGCACATTCCGCAACAACAACCGGCGGCTGCCCAACCCGTGCTGCGTGCCGGCCACTCTGGCGGGCATCCACGTGTTATACCTGGACGACCTCGACAACGTGGTGCTCAAGGAGTTCAGTGGCATGATCGCCACCAGTTGTGGCTGCCAATGATTGGACGGTATATACTCGCCGGCCAAGGCTCAGCTGGTATAATTATTGAGGTGAGGCTATGGAAATTGCCGTTAACCATGCAGTGAAACATCTTGAACACCAGGCATCTACCGGCCAAAATCCATATACTATGATATTCATCACCGAAATTATGGCGACTTGGTTATTTCGGACAGCTTGTCTGGCACCCATGAACTCTATGGCCTTCGAATATTCATTTGGCCACGTGGATATTTGTTGTGGCCTTTTGGGATGTGTTAGACCATCCGCAGCAAAGGCAATGACACCATGATAATATTGGCCACCAAGACGTAATGGCCATACGGGTATCTGTGGCTACCTTGTGGACCCAAACCGTAAAAGGCCATAATGACGGAACATAAATATCGACTTGTGGCCACCGCCTATTGGCAACATGAGACATTATAGAAGCTTCTTCTATATGATGTCCAGGGCTAAACTGATGTAATAGCAGACCAGCCCTCATCTCTCTCACCAAGACGACAGTGATCCCGCTCGGCTTCACATGATGCAAGCAATTCAACTCTGCTCTGGGATTCTTTGGATCAAATTTTGGTTGGTGTTGGTTTTCGACTTTGCAGTCTTGGGTGTCGCAAACCCGTCATTTTCCCTATTACAAAATTAGAAACAGTATTTGTACTTTCTTTGTTTTAAATAAAAATTCCTATATTTGGAGTGGTGCCTGTTAGAGTTCTGTAACGAGGTTCATATATACGAATCCATATATGACGACAAAAAGGTATGTAACAGTCAAAGCAATTAGAAGCGGGTGTACTGTATCACGTAATCACTGTCGTTATGTGGATACATGACTTAAACAAGACAGTGATAGAGGAAGACAGAAGCTCATTATACATGTAATTTTATTTTAATTAAAGAAGGTCTTGAATGGTCCCCAAAATGTACTTCTGACAACAAGACTAACATCTGAAGACACGCCATGTTTAATCACTGACGAAATTGTTTATATCCCAATTGTTCTTATCCAAAATGGTTGACGATGAGTTTTAGGGAACGAAAAATCGAAATGTGTACGGTTTTCTTAACAAAGGCCAATATTTTGAGGAAGTGGTTGAAGTTGTATTTTACTTAGTGCGCCAAGACGCCCTACTTTCAACAATGCGGGCGTCTCCTCATCGCCACCTACCAGCTTTCAGCGATTGGACAGGTGAGTGCAAACGTCAACGCCCGAAGCGACCTAGCCTTCTTCGCCTAAACATCAGCCGACCCAAAATGGGTTTGCGATCAACCCCCGGCACGTCAGGGAGATCGTGGAAGAGCACTTAAGGGGCACATTTCTTCCCCGTTAAAGGCCAAAAGGGGGTTGACGGGGGGCTGGGGGTTTTGGGGAGATCGACATTCTGGTTTTATTGTTACTTTGAATTGGAGTAACCTCGCCACGAGCTATGTGATCTGATTTAGTGCAGGGTATAGGATGTTGATGTTGCCATGCCAAGGCATGTTGCGTTCTTTTGAAAAACATAATAACGAGGAAGTCCTTACCTTACGCCTTGCATGCCTCGGCAATGGTGGCATGTGAATTCTGTTCGGTTGTAAATCTTGCTGTTGTAAGCGCATATGAATACAGTGTGTAGACAATTCCCAATCGTGTATGGCGTATGGCTATTTCCAATAACCCACCTTCGTAAGCAACAACCAAATGAATGCAATGACATTTTGTACTAAAAACTCACGGTGACCATTTTTTTCCAAAGCAAAAAGCAAAATTTCTAATTTTCATGTTACCAAAATCCACCCTTTTAAACATTTATTGAAAACCTTTTGCTCAGTAAACAATCGCCTCGCAAGGCAACCCAGTTGCGTGTCTTTTTTAATATTTCCCCCGACAGATAAGAATTCGATGTCTGGAATATCCTGTGGGGTTTCTATACATTTTGCAGAGAAGTTATGAAGTTTAGGCCCTATAAAGACAATTGTATCAGTCACCGTTGTTTTACTGTTAACATTACGTATAGTGTTTTCAAATTGGCGTTTTCTTCATTATTTGTCCCGTGGTGTTTTGTATTGATGATTCTGTTTGGGCGGGGATAATGTTCTGTTGTTATATTTTTTCGGTGCTAACCCCAAAGCAAGGAAAACCTCGAGATATTCTTCGGTTGTAGAAATAATGACCTATTAAGTGGATTTGTGACGGAGATGGAAGTTCGAGGCACATTTTATGCATCTTTACGTTTCAAATTAAGGGAATAAATGTGTGCTCCGTCGGTTTTTATCACTCTGTTTAATACCACTTAGAGTCTGGGTGCTGATAATTACCCGAGCCGGAGGCGAGGGTAATTATCAGCACCCAGACTCTAAGTGGTATTAAACAGAGTGATAAATACCGACGGAGTACATATTTATTCCCATTCATAAATACCTTTTCGGTAAAAAAAAATCATATAATTCGTTCAAAACATCCCGATTTTGTTCAACAAATTCACTTTATGCTTTTTGAATCATCCCTCCTGCAAAATAATGGAGTGTTCAGCTGGCGAGTAAGATGAAAACAACCCTTTTATGGAGATTGACGCGCGCGTATCATGTTCTATGCGATGTCGCGCAGAACGCACCTGGCGCGTTGCGTTTTGAATTTAGAACTATAAAATTCTAACTCCCTGGTAATGTTGCGCATGCCGACGTGAGGATTGTGAACGTTCAACCAATTAAACGATAAGAGGCACTGGATTTTTAGGAGTCCACATTTTATTGTGACACTGGAAAAGTGTTTAAGACCAGCTAGCCATGTCTTTATCATCCGTTTAATACCGGCCACGTGACGGGCTCTCGACCAATAGGAATGGCTAAACTGTCTGAGGTATTTATGAATGTTGAATAAAAAAGGACCAACTTTAAACGCGATTTTCTCGAATGTTTGTTGAGACAGTGAAAGACTAAATTCGCGTCTACGTGAAAACGGTGACGATATTATTACCAGTACGCCAACTTGAATTTAGATAGTGTGTATCTTTATTGATTTTTTTTTAAATATTAATCAAACTGTACTGAAGTTTATAATGAATTTTTGAAGGAGTTAAAAGAAGCCTTTTTTTATGCCAGTTAAGGTGTTGTTGTTAATAAGAAAAACAGTATTACGGGTGTATATTGTTAAGTGCGCTTGTGTATCTACATGTACATACAGATAATTAGAATAATGTGTACATACTCCTGTAATCTCAACAAGTATACATGTAATGGTGTTTTTCTTTTATTGCCTCTTGCTTAGTGCTGCGTTTTTTGGTGGTTACTTTTTATTCTTTTAAACAAGAGTGGGGAATATTGCATATGAGGACACAGACTACATTTATATTGTTAGTTCTATGAACTAATTCTTGGTTTAGAAGGGCTATAGTAAAAGTGACATTTTCAGTTTTATATTTAATTTGTGCCAGGTTTGCAATATGGAGGGGGACCAAAAGAAAAGAAAGATATTATTATAATTTTCTAACCTAATTTTCTGTATGGAAATACCAGAGATTCACTGGCAGGCATCCTTGCAATCTCCGTTTACATGAATTCTCCGAATTTCAAAATGAACCTCGAAATAGTCTGGAGCCTACTGTGCAACGCCCGCTTGGGGTGCAGACCTGTAAATAGGCCAAACATTGACTACGTGAGCCAAATCACAATTTGCATGATGCCCTCAAATTATTATTTGAGCATTTTGTTGGGCAATGAACTTGACAGTTTGTCAAAAAAAGAAGTGCAGACGCCGTACACAGTCATGACTGCAAGCTTGTATTTCTGTGTAATTTGGATGAAATTGGGCCTTAAAAATGTTTTGCCCTATTTTGCAATGGAGTGTATAGGCATCATTTTGTTAACATGACGATGGGCTTCACCACTACTTTTAGTGGGTGATCATCTTTTGGTGGAAATTTCTCCCCAAAGGCATCGAAGTGTACCCACAAAAACTTAAACAGAAATTGAAAGATGATGAAATAAGCTTTAATTTCATGTGTGTCTCCAACACCGTCTCTAGCCCGACTTTCATGAGAATCCTGCCACGTTCGAGCCCGGTGAAACTTAGTCAGCAATTGGCTATGTATTACAGGATTTGGTGTCTCCAAAGCACACAATGGACACATATTGTCCTGGAGTATATGTTTGGGGACTAAAATCATTATTAATAAAAGCTGGAGCCAGAAGCCGAAGCCAAATATTGAAGCCGAGATTTCGTATACAGTCTAATTGCTTGGGGAAAGCACGTAGTGCCTTTATGATTTGGTGGCCCAGTTATCATGCCCTCGTATATGCCCCCGGGGAACGCGACAAGCAAAAGCAAATTTTCAAAGGATCATTGAAATAGAATATGCGCTTTTGTTGGGTTGGGAGATAATTTACTCAAGAATTTGTGGAATCCTAATGGATTTCATTTTCTCATGTAGTTTTCGAAAATAGAAAATAATTATAAGAATTTATCTTCACTGTCATAGTTTTTTACTTCAGGTGAAAAGGTATTTTCAGTGCACTTCGAGGCCTTGGTGTAGCTATTCAAACGTGTAAATAATTATGTAAAGCAATCATCTTTATATTATTTCACAGAGTGTACAAAATAACTATCTATACAAAGGGAAAAATTGATGTTCGATTAATTTTGTATTCTAAAGGAAATATGACAGTGAAACTGACGTAGTTAAGTTCGTTCTTATAGCTCCTTGTTACTTCGGTTTGCATCGAAGTATTAGACACAAATTGTGCATTTATTCTCATGTTAATTTTGCGAGGAACTTATTTATTGGAAATATAATGCATGTAATTAAAATGGCGTCACGTAATTATAGAAGTTTTTAGTTTTGTGTGCAAAGCCGTTATTTGTTTATGTCCGTCGAGACACTGGTGTGTTGGTCTTTGGCTGTTGCTGCTTTGCCTGCTCCTAACGTGCCGCTTTGTTTGTCCGTGCGGCTGTCTGTCTGCCCATCCGAAGTCAACAAACCGAATAGAAGTTTCAGTCTGTATGTTGAAATTAAAGTGCATGCCATCATTCAAAGCTTATAGCAAAGGTATGCAAAGAGTAGATCCCACTGTTTGCGTTATTCAATTAAGCTAGCTGTTTCAAATAAAATCACAATTTGTGAAAACCTACAACTGAAACTTTAAAAACATCAGTTTTTTGTCGGTAATTTTCCACAAAGCCATCAGACCATGCAGCCCATAATACGCGCGCATGGATGGATTTTTAAGCACACACGATTTGCTTTCAAGTTTACCGGGAAAAGGCTATTCTGTCCGCCAGATCACGCAGCCAAGTGCGCGCTTGGCTAGTCAATCGGCGCGGTAGAGAATGGACGGGCCACGGGGGCCAGTTAATATTTCAGTGTAACAGACAGGGCCTACCCACGCAGACTTGGCGCGACGGCCTGACGTGAAAGCAAGCGAGAAACCATGCATGAATTATTGACATCGAATATATTAGTCACCAGTGGGCTAAATACCATAATTACTAGGTTTGCATTATCATGGCACCCTTGCTCATTTTGCGGTCGTTATATGCGTGCAAATCGCCAGTTAATGCACGTAAAGTGCGCATCCATTTGTACATGTAGGCCTATGTGATGCTCTCACTTATCTCATGGCGGTAGAATTATCTACCACACCGACAGTGTAGAGAGATCAGTGGATGCACTGCGTATTATGAATAGCGCCATCTAGTGTCAAATGGTCCCCGAATTTCCGAATAATGGCTAAAAAATTATACCAAAAAGCAACAGGCATTGACCTCTGAAGTTTATTTGTATGGGAACGTTTCCCCTATCCGGAGAAGGGGCTTTTTTTGCCATTGTTTTACAGAAACCTTGAATTTCATTATTTTTTGCTTTTCAAGTTTCGTTTGCAAGTTGCATGGGGACGCTCTATAACGTCATAAAATAAAACAGAAAAAAGGTTGTTGTCGAAGAGTGCGAAATGCTTTTATGCCATCTGTAAAGGGCAGCTGTACAAGTTTAGACGAGAGCATATGTCCCATCAAATATTCATCTCAAGGTTTGAAATATGTCACGGACGTGCGACCAAAAGTAGCAGACCGTTGCGCATTTCACGGTCTGAGTTCTCAGAAGCGCGCCCACGCATGCTGCCTCATCGCCGGGCTAACGACACTTTCCCCCGCCCACGTCGCACGCTGGCACTACGACAAGCTGCTCATAATAGTATCTCTAAATGCCAAAAGTATCCATGTTTAAGGATAATGAACTGAAGCAATGTACTGGAACGACATTAAATATTAACACTAATTCCATTTCCAAGTGGTTCGGATATAAAGTATAACGTGAACTTTAGGGTAACACCGTGCATTGATGTTCAAGTTCACAGACGACAACTTTTTTTTACGATTACAATTAAGGATCCTTTTGCACTTTTATATTATAGGTATGGACTTAAACATCCAGGTGTCATCGGTTGAAGATACAAACTTGCAAAGTGTATACACTTTCTCTCATTTTCAAGGTCAAATGAGACAACAAGCCAGCCGTGAAAACTAAGAATTGTGTACCAAAAACTTGGCATAATGCTCTGGTAATTCAAACCCTTTGTTGCACAGGAAACCTGTGAGGAAACTGTGAGGTTGTTTTGGACGGAAGAATAAACCACTGCATTCCATTTGGTTCCTCCAAAAAAATACTGTTTTGTTCTAAGACAGTGAAGGATCAATTCACATTCATTCTGTTGGAAGCTTTTATTACCTCCGCCAAGGAGGTTATGTTTTCATTGGATTTTGTTGGTTGGTTGGTTAGTTGGTTTGTCTGTTAACAAGATAACTCAAAAAATTAGGGACGGATTTGAATTTTTTTTTTAGGGGTGGTCCTTGGTACAAGTACAAATCGATTAGATTTTGGAAGTGATCCGGATCTGGGTCTGAATCCAAGATATTTTTTTAAAGGATTCTTCACCATTTATATGCGAGTATTTCTTTTGGGTGACTGCACTGACAATAATTATGGCAGGGAGTTTTGTTAGCCTTGGCAGAGGTTTGCGCTCTCTGAATGCTTTCTAGCTTAATTTGTTATATTTCACGGGCCCTTTTTGTACTGTTAAAAACTCGTAAACTTATCGAAGGCTTAAAAAGTAGCAACAGACCACATGCACGGTGCGCCCTCACCGAGGGCAGGTTATTTGGTGACAATAAAAATACGAAGTATTCATACTTATCACACGGAAAGAAGGAATTACTTCCCTCAGATGTGACGTCGGATGAGAGGGACCTCACCCCCAAAATCTCCAATTATGAACTTCAAGCATCGATAACTAAGCTACATTGCCATTCGTTTATTGGTGACTCCGAGAGCAGTGAAATCCCCCCCCCCATTCATCCTTGACTAGTCGATAGACCTCTTTCATCCCCATGTCTACGTCTAAAATGACCTAAAGACGAATGAAGATTCAGCCATTGTCTGAATTGTTTTGAGTCATTGTTTGAATTCAGACGAGACCCCACTCGTCTGAATTCTGGATACGCCCCTTTAGTACCGTTAACCGCTGCATGTAGTCAAGTGCATGGAATTGGAGATGAATCATAGTGCTTCAAACTCGAAGCTAAAACTTTGTGTTTTCATTGGCAGAGTAATAATCAATGATAAAAGCTGTTGAGGAATCTGATGGGTAAAATGTACCACACTTTGTCCCTCGAAGTTAATGGTACAATAACATTGTAGGTACCATCAATACAAGTATTTTAGAGAAGGCAACTCTGTGTTAGGAATGGAAATCATGGAAGATACAACAAGACAACAACGTTTATGTGTTCAAACAGTCACCCTTTCAAACTTAAAAAGGAGGTGGACAACACAAACAAATCACTGGTGGTTGTATTAACAAGGCGCCACTTGGTTGAATCGCAGCTATTTGAAGCATAGGACGGGCCTCAAATAGCATCACTTCTTTTATCGTTATGTGTTGGTTGACTGGTTGGTGACAGTAAATCCAGGCTCGCTTCTGCGAAATGTGCACCAGGCAGGAAAAAGAACAATCAGCAAAAAAGGGCAAAAACCTCACTTTGGTGTGGACATTCTGACTAAGGCCTTTCTGCAATCCTCAAGAATTCCATTTTTTGTTTATGACCCACCCTTCGACCGATAACTCTTCGACCACAAACAAGACCACCAACCAGCGCATGACCGACCAACCAACGCATTGGTCGATCGACCATCTCATCGACCGCCCTCAATGCCGCCCCTTTCAAAATTTCCCTAGATTGGCATTTTCCCCTTGAGATTTCCTGAAATATCCCAAAAACTTGTTTCAACTTTCCTGATTTTCCCCCTTAAATAATTGTAACTTGAAGTCACCATGGTACTAATTTTAAAAAAACATGGATATCACCAGTTTAGTTTCTCAGCTTTTCAAAACGGTATCTCCGAAGCTACCTTAGCTGCGTCCTCATTATATGCACTTGGAATTTATGCTGACAGCGGCTCTGGATCTGTCGTTTGTCAGTGCTGGTCATGGCCATGGACGCGGCCCCCGGGCCAGTTGACCCCTGTTCCGTAGAGGCCCCCAAAATGGCCAAAATAATTTCGTTTGGAATGTTGATTTTTCTTGATTTTTTTTGCTTAAGTTTTGTTTTTGTCTTTGAAATGTCCTTCAAATTATATTTGGATTTTCCTTAAAAATGTCTTTACGTGTCTCTCTTCCTTAGAATTGTCCTTATGATGCTAAAACATTCCTTAAAGTAAGGAAATGTCCTTCAAAGTGGAAGCATTGACCGACCCACCGGCCAACTCATTGACTTACCAACTGACCGTCCCATCGATCGAACCATCACGCGCAAAACCAACCAACCAACCAACCGATGTAGTTACCAAGTTCGGGCGAGGCCTAACTTCACTCGAACGCAGGATGGTTGGACTTCTAGCTTTTGCTCAAAAAGAGTAGAAAGAACTTGCCTCAGATTACCCACAGAGCATCCAGAATCCCAAATTTTCGGGGCCCTTATAAGCGGGCCCCGAACCCCACGCCTTTAGCTCATAATATAATAGTTGATTCAATGACTTCCACCTCGAAAATGACGTTGAAATACAGACATTATTGTGTAAAGTGGTCAGAAATTGCCTCAGATTGCACCACAGAGCATCAAACTTTTTTTCGGGCCCTTAACTTAAGTGGGCCCCGAACCCGCCGGTACCCCACGCATATAGCTCAGAATAATTAGGGCCTATTCAATGATTCCAACCTCGAAAATGATGTTTAGGACCTAAACGATTATCTTTTGTTAAAACAAAATGATTAAAATGGTCAGAAATTACCTCTGATTACATAGAGCATCAAGAATAAAAATTTTTCGGGGCCCTTCAGCAGCCGCAAGGGCTTCGCGCTCGCATTAGTTGTGATCAATGTCCCCCTACTTTTGAGAAGCGATTGACGCCCCTGCTTGTTACCAACAGCCATGCGCATCATGAGATGGCACAACTAAGTAATATTACACATGATCATACACGTTGAAGCCATATTCGAGAATTTCCAAAGAATGAAAAAAAAAAATCTGCTTGTCAGAAGTCGGATAGGAATTGCAAGGAAAGCGTGGATTTAACGGTTCATCGGCGTGGAACCTGGTGCACCAATGGGTTTGTATGGGTAATGCAACTCGGGTCATGGCCGTGTCCTCTCGCAGGTAAAGTGCCGACATACAGTATGGCCTCTGGCCCCTTTTTTGTTGTGCCGGGTCGCCGCCGCGTGATTTCAACTCTTTGAAGCGACATTGATAGGTTTGCTCATCTACTCGAAATTGGGGCGTACAAAAATTGCAACACTGGTGTCAAACTCCAGGCCAGAGAACACAAGTTGAACAATGGACCCGTTGAAAGCATCCCCGGAAATTTCCCATTGAAATTGCAATCTTTTCAGTCGCCTCTAGTGAAAGAAACTAAATGGTAATCTGCCAAGACGATTTCAAAATCTATTTGATGGGGCCGCGTCGGAAAAATAAGTTTCTTTTTTTTCCACAAAGTAGGGGGCTATTGTGGGACATTTACTTTCAAAACTGACTTTCTTTTTTTCATCTTACAATCAAATTAATATAGGATCGAATCAAGTATGTAAACAGGTCAACATTCGCGTTGTTCGGGTCATTACTCACACTGTATAGAATAATCAACAATTAAATTTCGTGTTAAAAAAAAATACTGACCTACTGTATGAAAATACCGCATTCATATCATACGCCGGATGAGGGCGCTATGACAAGTCCACGACACATTACATTTTGTACAATGAAAGCAAATATGTACATGTACATTTCACATACATGTACATGTTCATGCAGATGGAGCCTAGTTCAGTGAAGTTAAACCCAAAACACAGTACTCAGTGCTTTAATTACTGTAAATATAAACCACATGTAGAGGGGGGGGGGGGGGGGTTGAATTTTCACATAGCAAAATTAAATAAGGCAAAACAATAATAATTTCAACACCACAGGCTAAAACCCAGGGTAATATTTAAACCCTGTGCATTCTATTAGGACAATGACATCCAATTCAACATATTTTGTTCTGGGACAGCACAATTTCATTTTTAAGAAAATCTTTTATTCTTTTTATATGATCTGACACATGTTCATCATACTGCAGCATAGATAATATAAATCACAGACTAAAAAAAAAAAGTAACAACTTCAACCGATTAATTATCAAGATAAAATAAATCCTTAACATTTTATTAAATATATGGCTGAATCAATTATCAATATTTAATAATCAATATTTTGAACAATATTGTAAAAACATGAGTAACCAGTGGAGTAGAAAACATGGGGGGAAAAAACCTGTCTTGAAGAGGAATCAAATGTTGAAATAAAAATGGCGCTAAAAACACCCAAAACAAAAGCAACGTTATGTTATGAAAAGAGGGTTTACACCAACTTCAAACAAGCATTTCAACGGAAACCGCAACACAATTGTATCGACTTGCAGAATTAAGTTAGGTTTCAGGATGTCTTTGGGGTTCAGTTGAGAGTTACCTCCTTAGTCAGAGAAAGAAGATGGCGCACGATAAACATCACATAAATTTCATTTGCTTAATCTTATCTTGAAACAGATTTTTTGTTATTGTAATGCACATTGTAATCCTGACACGACCAATTAAATTACGTCACTAAAACACAGTCGTGTATTGTCATCAAAAACTGGAAACAAAGAAATTGCTAGAAAAAGATTAACAATTGTAACAAATGTAACTTCTAATGCCCAGTTCTATTCTACTCTTCGTTACTGCATAAGCAAATTGATAAGTTTATGAGTGTGTGGCACATTGTATTTCAGTTGTAATTGTACATTGTTGAGCACTTTCAATATTTTTTTTTCAAATTATGTACAAATCATACGAGATTCAACATCTCAACATAATTTTTTTCATATTGCTCAGCCATTATACAGCAATGGTGTTGAGAGGGGACACAAGTGGCTAGAGACAATCAAATGACATTGACAATTGTGGATTTCCTCTAGACTACTGTTCAATTTGTCAATTTTGTTTTTTAAAGAAATGTTTACATGAAACAACAGATGTATGGCATGCACAAAGGTACTTCTTTCCTCCTCTACCCTGGTCCCTTTGAGTGGATTCCTGAATAAGAAGAAAGTGTGTTAATGAAAGACTACAGGACTACAGCTATGCCTCCAATTTTACGGATGAACCCTACCTATATACACAATGTATTTATAACCTAGCGGACAAAAAGTGCCCCAACACTAGTCACAACAAAAAAATTGTGATCGCCGGATGAGCCTTGAGGTTGTACACAGAGATATTGAACCCCAATCTCTTGTAAGCCTGAGAGAAGTGTCATAGGTAGGCAGGACAATGGCACTATTTCGACACTAAGTCGGAGGATATTACTGTTTTCCCAAACGACCCACTGTCGTCACTGTACGACAGGTCGCGCCTTGGCTGCCATGCCTTTGGCTTTGGCTTTGGCACTGTCCCGCAGTCGCGCCATGTCCGCCGGGAAGCCTTCCGTGGGGGGTCTGTCCGGAACAAACATGTTCTCCAGGACGTAGTTGAGTCCCTTGGTGGATTTGGTCTGGTTGGCTTTGTAGCGTTCCATGCCGAAGTGCTGGATGGCCGTTGCCACGCCCTTGACGCTGGAGTCCACCCAGGAATGCTTCTCCAGTTGAGTCCAGTCTTTGTTGTCCTGGGCTGGCCGGTAGATTTGTTTCTCTGTTACCACCTGGAGTAAACAAAAACAAATAAGGGAAACAATGAGCACATATCTTGAATCTTCTTGAAATACATGTAAAATCAATACTAGACAAGTCCACTGCACTTCCAATATGTCCCCTGAGTAAATACTTTGAGCGTATTGAACAGAGTGAGCCACCATCTTCTCGTTTTGTAGTCGAGTCCATCACAAGTGCTTACAAGTCCTCGTAAGTCCATCACCAGCCTCGTCTCCATGGGCGCGTGCACCTTCCTTCACTAACCCCTGGCCGTGATGAACACGTAAACAATGCTGACTGGCTATTCAAACAAGAAATGTGACTGTAGATTCCTGAGCCATTATTGGAGGTTAGGTTGGGAACCTTTTCTACGCTTCAATTCCTCAAAAGGTAGCTCAAGGCCTTTGGTGTTGATGCAAATTTTTACAAAAATGGTCAATGGAAAAATTGCACATGTACACGAAGAACTTCAACTTACAACAAATTATTTAAAGAAGCTTAACAATAGACAGTGGGTAGCCATGATTCCATACAACTCACCATGAGTTTGGTGAAGCCCACATTCCGTGTGTAGATAGTGAAGGTCTTCTTGACAGGGTCTACCACCGACTCCTCAACGATGCAGACCTGCCGGGCGTGGTTACCAAAGATGTAGTTCCCCCACTTGGGCAGACGATTGGTCTTAGTCAAGAGACGTTGGGTGACCAGCTCGGTCCCCCTAAGAACTCGGCTGATGACGTCTTCTGTCAGCACATGCTTGCTGAACAGACCACAAAGATAATTATTAGGGTATTAGTCATTGTCAATGCAAAGTACATACACAATATACATGTAGAACCTTATGAGTAACATATTGTTCGACAAGTATCCGCTCCGTTCACAAGTACCCCCTCACCGGCAAACAGAGTACAGTTGGGGGTGACCGACCGACGCCATCTTGCCTGACTGCAATTTTGCCGCGACGCGCAGCCGTACCACTGCGTGTACATAGTACAAATCCCCTGGTGTACGTGCGTCACACACAAGGAACGGTGCGTGTCAACCAGTTAAATGTCCCGCCCGTGGGACGTCGTTGCTAGGTAAAAGGGCACCCTCTTTCGTTGGAGCACGGAGCTCATACATACATAGACAGGCATTTCAAATAACGGGGTTTTTTATTGTCTAAATGACAATACTGAAGGGGAAAACCCCTAACATTTACACATGAGCAAACTACACAACAGAAATGCAAGGCGTTGTGGAGACAGAAAAATGCTGTTTGAGGTACATACCTTTTTTGTGTCATTTGGTATGGGCTTTACTGCAGGCCCAAACTCACCTGTATGGGTTAGGATATTTTTGCCACAGAGCGGAGGCAACATGGTCCCATGTGTGTTTGAACAACTCAACAGTGGTGAAGTATTTCATTTTGAATCTGGAGAGGAGTACAGTCCCTGTAATGTCAAAAGAAATCAACAAACATTAAAGCAAATACAATCAGCTGGTGAATTACATTTGTGACCAAAAGACAAATTCTTGAAATTTCATCTGAAATGACATAAAATTTAGGAGTCTAGGAATAGCTAAGTTATAGGAATATTACTTTACAAATTTGCAGCCTTGTTAATTCAGTTCTGGCAGAGTGGACTGGTTCAGGACAGCCCCAAAGTTTGGGCTTTGGTTAAATAGGCTTATACGTGTTAACACATTTGCAAGTTGAAAATTTGTTAACATTAGGAGAAAACAATCAAATCAATTGAAGGCTGGGATATTCATTGTTAACATGTTTAATTACAAACAATACATTTAATTTCCCATCATGCTTTGACTGCAAGAATTATATTTTTTAGATCTATGACCACCGCCAACATACAAATCCTATTGAAACTAAGCCCCTTGCCACCTAAAAATTACGGCGGTTGTGTAGAATTAGAAAGTAATACAGGCCCTGAAAAAAATTCACTAGGTCTATTCTATTCTAGGCCTATTCCACAATATTTTCCGTATAAAAGTCACCAAAAAAAAAACGACTGACCATGCTGCCAGTTGTAAAACATCAATTGTTAACCCCTTTGGTAATGACATTATTACTGGGACTGTAAGAACATGTTAAAAAGTGAAAAATTAAATTATTAAATTAATATTTTGAAAATTGAATTTGAGAAAAGTCTTGTCGTGCCTTTCCAAAAAAATTTGGACAAAAATAAAATAAAAAGAGATCATTCTCACGGCCTTTACAATGTTAAATGTATTGCCCAACATCCGTTTCAACACAAACATGACAAACTGTACACAGAATTGCACGACCGCATGTCGGTTCACGAACACTGGCGTGCAATGGCATGAGTCTGCATGCAGATCTCCACTGTAGTCTATACTTTACTTCCGAAGTCAAGTGAAGTGTCCAACAGGGAATCTCCGGCAGGCCAGGTCGTCGCGTAGATCAATAATTAATATTTTGATAACCTTAAAAAAGAGAAACCAAACAACTCGTTAAATACAAACCTCGATTACGAAACAGTTTCTAAATTCTACATAGTACATATCATTCCATGGTATACAATTTTGGCCCCTTTTTAGACTAAAATTAAAAGACTGAATTTTGCACGTTCACACCGCACCGTGCACCGTCCGATATTCAACCTTGTTTCCAAGTAGCAGGCTATCACTGATACAACGAGTAATTTCGATCCTTTGCGCTGCAAACAAGGTTGACGATATGGAACTGAAATTATACGGAGCCTCTAAGACGACAATTGGAAAAATATTTTCACAAAATATTATTCTTTAATGCGCGCGCTTGAAAATCATCTCGCGTAGTAATCTGGTTGTTATAGACCACCGTACACAACTTGCGGCCCTTTCCAGTTGATACCCTGTCGCCTTTACGTTAAATGCTACTATGAAAATAATTGGTGACCCGACGGAATCACGATAATGCATTACCATACGGCGGTGTTTACAAACTAAGGTCGAACAGTCACCCAGATTTTCTCCATATTTTTACTAAAAATCTGACACCAGCACCTGAGTTTTGTATTGTCCAAGAATGTGTCCGGTGTGGACTCCGCTGAACCCACCTCCTCGTCCCGATGAGGTGTGGGATTTGTCAGACGATGCGAGGATCATCCTGCGAGCTCTTCGCGAAGCGCACAAGAAGAAGCGTGAGTCACGGCAGCAAAGTCAAGCACCGCCAGGTCAGTACTCAATCATTGCAAATCAGTGCGCCAGCCCTTTATTATTGATAGTGGATATTTTGCCGGAGGTAATGACGGCAAACTAACGATTACTAAAGGTTTGCCGGCGGCAATCCATATCAACAGAGGGCGCTGTACTCTTTAAAATAGGGCTGAATTATAAGATGTATTAAATTCCCACCAAAAGTTGTGTAGCACGTTTGGTGTAGTGGTTAAGCAAAGGCTCTAGTGAGCGGGATGACTCGCGTTCGATTCCGACCGCACCACATTTTTAAGTTTTTTTTTTCTCATCCCCAAATAAATAAAAATATTCTTCTTTTATTATTTTATTTTTAACATGTCTCAAACATTTTTTGCAGAGTATTACATTTTCTTTTTCAGATTTGTGGCTCTGGAGGATTTTTTTTAAAAGGGAAATAAAGTCCGAAATTATAAAATGGTCTGAATCCCATCTTGTGAATACGAGGTACCAACGATAATTTTGGCATGGAGCCAGACTAAAACTTGTCACCGGAAAATGTTTAAGTACAAAAAAACAGTAACTGTGCATGTTCAGTGCATATCCGGCAAACTAACGTTTACTAAAGGTTTGCCGTCTCCGGCAAAATATACACTGCCTTATTATTTTTTGTACCCATACATTCCAAAGTTCATTTGCTCCCCCACCCCCCTCCATGGAACGGGGTCCTAAACTACACAATTACCAAAAAATTTTAAGCTGTTTGATTGCAAGATTTTATGAGCAAAAGAACAAGGATTAGTGGATTACTTCAAAAAGCTGCCAATTGTAGTTTCTTAATCTGCCCAGCTTAGAGTTTTTGTGTTTGTTTTTAAAATATTGTGTTTAAGTATTTGTATTCGTTTTTAGATAATGTTTGAGTATTCTTTATGTGTTCTTGTTTTACTTGAATCTTCTCAAATGTCTTAATTTTTTAAGGGATACAGGCTATGTTTATTTTTATATTTTCTAAATTTTTCTACATTTTTTTCCGTACTGAAGTCCCTCTGTTTTGTTTTTACATGCAACTGAACTTTTATATTTAGGTTTTTTGTTCCTTTTTAGCGCTCTGTTTTAGCTTATTTTACCAAGAGAGTGTTGATTTGTTTTTGTTGCTGGTTTTTCTTTTATCTTTTCTTAGATTTTGCTTTATATTTCTGTTAAGTGCATATCATTTCATTGTTTTTTCCTTCTTTTTCATTTTTTAGCCTTCGATTTTGTAAAATTCATTTTATTACTTAATTTTATTGCAGGGCCCTAATGAAAACCAGCTTTTTGTTGTTTGGCTTTACCCTGGATAAATAAAGATATAATTAAATAAATAAAATAAATCTTAATATTCCTAATAATATTTTTTAAATAGACCACAGGCTAATGAGTAAAGTTCTTCATAAAAAAAAATCAGTTATTGAGGCCTTTGCTAGAAACAGTGTAGACAAAATGTTATGCTGTGAATTGTAACTGAAGCATAACTACATGTATGTTTCTTTCTTTAAACTTCATTTTTCCTTTTTACTTGAAGATCCAAAAACATACTACAGGAGCCTTTACAGGGAGAGCTTTAAGCAAGAAAGTCCTCGTCTGAGCCCAAAAGAGAACTGTTCTGGTGAGCAAGCAACTCAGACTTCAAGTAATAGATCCTTTGAGTTAGGTCAAAGGATTAAAGTTGAGCAGCGCAGTCCTCAAGGTTCCCCTGAGCCGCCTGTGCTTAATTGTGAGCAGAACCAGGCGTCTACTCTATCCCACTTTATTTCAGCAGTTACACAAAATACAACCTGGTGTAGGGATTGCTCTCAAAACCCTGGAAGGGTCTTTAGTGAGGAATTGTTTAGGACAGGTAGGCCAGTTGATGAGTTGTTGTACAGTGCCAGGATTAGTGCGTCCGCCGTTAGTCATATGGCTGGCTTTAATCTAAGAAGTCCGAGGAAAGGGCAGGGTGGCGAAGATTCGAGTCCCGTCATTCCCGATAGCCTTCCAATTGACACCAAGTACTACCAGGAATTTGACAAGAACCAACATGGTTTTCTCGCCACAGACTTTGTACCCAATTCATGTAGAGAGGATGGACCAGGCATGTTGAATAAGTCTAGGGAAACCCGAGTAGAAGGTACCCCCAACCCTAAGGAAAGGGGTTTAGAGAAGGGTATTGAAGCTTCACCAGAGAAACGGCCAAGGCACAGTGTAGGGAACAATAGTGATATTTTGGAGCAGGTCCAGTCAGGAGCATTCCATTCTGGGAAGTTTGCATCCAAAGCAGACTGGCCTCTGCAAGAAAATCTGCATCCCATAGGAAACAGTGAAGGAGTGGTAGCACCCCAGATCCCCCTAGCTGAAATGGAAGACGCAGGGACTAGACATGTAGGATGCAAACCTGATAGCACACCTATTCCAGCACACAAAAGGTAATGTGAAAATGGAGATAATTTCAGTTGAATAGCCTTGATTTAGAAATTTTAAAGGTTAGGCCAAAAAAAAACACAACGTTCTGCTTCCGATTCTATGGCATTTGAAAATAGGGTAGGTAGGTGGGGAATTTTTTTTTGTACAATCATATGGAGGTACCTGCCTGTAGTCAAGGGTAAAATGTTTTTCGGCGTTTTTTCCCTCATATTTTCCCAAAAAAATTAGGGTAGGGCTATCAAAATAGGGTAGGTAGGGTAACCGAAAGCAGAACTGTTATTTTTTTTGGCCTTGCACAGCTTCTACTCTCTCTTAGAATAAAGTTACTTAAAACCGCCCAATTGTTTGTTCCTTGTCCACTAAATATACAATGTATGTACCTGAGGGTGTAATATTTTTATAAACTCTTTTTCCAGAAGTTTTTCATCAGATGTAAAGATTGATGAACAGTCTCACCATGGTTTATCAGGAAATCAAAAAGGTGAGTAGGTTTTAAAGCTCGATCTTAAGCTCGCATTCCATAAAAAAAATCTCTCATAATAGAAAAATAGGAGAAAGCTCCACAAACGTAGAGTATTGAAAATTTACTCCAAACAGACAAATTTAGTTCAGAAAGGCATGTGTAGTCTCATGATTGCTTTGTCAAGACGATATTCAAGGTCTAAAGTTGATTTTGGGTTGATAAGCTAGTGAATGTTTGGAACATTTGCTGTTGATTTCAAACTATTAAGCCTTGCTTTTGATATGATATCAAATTTAGCAGCTGCCCAGGCTTCAACTTTGCAGAAGAATAAAGCAATGTCAAAAGCAGGGACATGCAAAAGGAAGGCAGGCCAGCCAACTATTGATGAGGTACCTATGATTACATTTTTCATTCATCAAAAAAAAAGGGAAAAAAATGTTAATTTTTTTTTTGGATTAATTACTCTCTAGAAAAGGGAAAACAATTCTGTCACATGCACGTTTACTTAATTGTTGGTTTGAAAAATTGAGTATTTGAGATTGCAATATTGAAGCAATTCAATTCCTTCTTCTCTGTCCAGATATTTGGTTACGCCAACAGCGCAATGCACAGAACTGGAGACCTGATCAGGAATGTCTCAAGCATGACATCTGCGTCAAGAGAAGAAGTCAGCGACAGGCTGGCCAGAGTGGACGAGGTATCCATGTGCATCATGTACAAAGATGGCTCCTCCCAGCTTAGAGAACCCAACTCTACAGCAAAGGCGAGTTCACATATACCACTCCCCTGCACTAACTGGACGGGCTGACAATGCCATGCATTGAAGCAGCCGTCCGCCATCTTGGGTCAACCATGACGCGAAAAATAGTCAAGCAAGTTTTTTTTTTCACAGGTAGTTGGTTTTGGATTTCTTCTGCAGAGTTCAGGCAGCCAAAAAAAATACGATTTTTTTTTCTAAAGGCTTTGAGATTTATAGAATCCTATTCCTAGGACTGGCCAGCATCCAAAGAATAATTAATAATTTAGCATCAGGGAAACTGTTGGTTTTTGTGAAGAAAAAAAAAGAACTGCCAATGGCAGAACAATGTACATGTATGTGTCCCAGCATGATATTTTGGAGATCCAAGATGGCGGATCAGTTGCTTCAAGGCAGCATTGGCCAAACATATGTAGAAGCCAGTCCAGTCTCAGTGGTTCGTACTTCCCCATCCATTTTGTAAGCTTCATCATTCAAACAAAAGTTTCACAGAGTTCATATGTTAGTGAACTGCCAACTCTGACTTAAGAGGAATCTTCCTGAATTTTCCAAAATCGTTAAGTTGCCGGAAATTAATGGAACATTCTAACAACTCCCCATTTAAAGCAATTTTTGGTTGAGCCTTTCTTTCCCATTCCTGAAAATATCCAAAATCTGGTGGATTTTTTAGGACCCGGGAGGGTAGGTTAAATAGTCTCAATAGAACAGATAAAATTAATACTCGTTATATTTCCAAGCAAGTGTCCGTTGTAAAAATAAAGTATGCAGAAAATCAGGCCCCCCCCCCAAAAAAATGGGCTATTTATTACAGGTTTACAAGAAAAAAAACCCTTGTTTTAATACTTGTTATATTTCCAAGCAACTGTCCGTTGTAAAAAAGAAATTTGCAGAAAATCAGGCAAAAAAGATAGGCTATTTATTACAGGTTTACAAGAAAAAAACGCCTTGTTTAACAACTACTATATTTCCAAGCAACTGCCTGTTGTTAAAAAAAAGAAGAAAGTACTTTTCTGGAAGTTTAGAACTCTTAAACAGCGAGGAGAGAGATGTCTTTTCCATGGTTCAGCAAGGGTCAGGATCTTGTATTTGAATTTTTTGTTTTCACACAACAGAAAAGAAAAGGCATTGGTTGCAGTGATGGTACAGCTGAATGCTTGGTGCTTGCATACGAAATTGCAAGTATCTTTCCTGATGATGGAGGTAGCGGCAAGCATCCAGACAACAAGCTGGACTTCATCTCCATTCCACTGTGCGGAAAGCAAGAGAGCTCTACCCAAGAATGGAGCAAGTGAGAAAGTTGCAAATGAGCGGGTGTAGAATGGGACCAGGCTTATAAAACATGGAAAGAAAAGAGCCAGCATGGCCTAACATGGCGTATAATGCCTGGTGTCACGTTTTCAATTTTAGAAATGTTGGGTTGTTTTACTTTTTATAATTTTTCTCACCACTTATATTTCCATCATTGTCTTGTAGATGAATGAAAACAAAATTAGGTATTCATAAGATGAATTTGCATTTGGGTGATGTAAATCAGTATTAGGATTTTTGCCCTTCACCGACGTATAAACACTGTATACTCAGTGTGTTACCTCCCGAGTGAAAGTTGGAAAAAATCACTCAGGTGGGACTCGATCCCACGACCTCCTGCTTTCTAGTGCATACATCTTACCACTCGACCACCGAGCTTGCAGGACCGGTTGGCTGGTTCGAATATGATGTACACGTAGCAGCGGGTACATATCATAATGAGGTATCATATGATAACAATGATGAGGTATTTATTAAATAACTTTAACATCATCAAATTCCCTTTCTGCCTAAAAGCCATACATCAAGAACCAGAAGAAATATTAGATCAACCTTTTTCTGTGGAAATAGTAGCATTTGACAGCGGGCAGTTTAAGCCCAATTACATTTCGATTTTACTTGGTTTTTCTATGCAGACCATCACCCAGCAATACGAGTAATAATCAAAGTTTTTTGTTTGGCAATCCTCAGGATCACTTTGCTGAATCTGATGAGGAACCAGAGAGTGAAGAAGATTTGCTTTGATGCCCAGGAGATGATTCATACCGTGATCTGTAGCTTCAGCCTGGACCATGCAGTGGGTAGGCATAAACCCTCTAGTCATTTGCACTTCACAACCCTTTAAGTTTTGCATCTGCAAAACCACTGTTGCCCTTAGAGTTAGCACCCACACTTCAAATTCCTTGGAGGTAATCTTCTGCGGAGTTTGTATGACACTTCAAATCCCTTCACAATTCTCTTGTATATTTAAACTCAGGGCAAGCAGGCAGATTAGGTCATGCTTCTGAGCTCTCCACAGATTGTTTTTTCTAAATTGCTACTTTCCTAGCAATATTAAAGTTACATGCATTCACTTTTAAACAAACCATTGAACACCAAATCCACCGACGTTTAGTTATTGACTTACATGTATTTTTTTTCACCGAATTCTAATTATTATTGCCAGACAATAATTCTGCTCTTGCAGGCCGGATTATTTGTGCACAAAATCAAAAGCCTTCTTCTGAGGGTTGCAGACGCCAAAAATTGAAATAAAGTAGGTTATTTTTCGGTTGAAATATACAAATTGAAATTTTGTTATGAAAAAAAATAATCTGTTTTTCTGAGGCTGTGGCTGATTTCTAAAAGGAGCAGATATTGTTTTCTCAAGATTCCTGTATTTCAAAAGCTGCATGGTGGCCACGGACCCAATAATATTTTGAATAAAGTAATACCTTGTTATCTTGCAGTGAGTTCCCATTGGCTGGCCATGGACCCCAAAGTGGCCGCCTGGCTCATCGATGCCGATCATCCACCAATCACATTCACTGATCTCCTGGGCAAGTACTTGCCTGATCAAGCCAGCCAATCAGAAACAAGAATGGTAAACCTGAGACTTTACTCAGCTGAACTTGGTTGCTCACAAGCAATTTTATGCTTTGAGTGAGCTTTCTTTGAAAATTAATAGAGAAAAATGACTTAGTTTTAGGTTGAGTGGGTTGGTGAGTGTCACCTTGATTGATGATATCATGTGATTTCATGAAGCGTCTTAGCGTACAAAATTGCTCAGCTCATATTTTTTTTTATAAAAAATGCAGCGAGCTGAACTAGTGAAGTACTGTAGTTATGATGAATTTGCTCACACGCTTGCTTATTTCAAGCAGTTGCTTCCCGTTTTCCAATGACAAAACGTTATGAAAGCAGGCCCTGGCGTTTCCCTTGTTTTGTTTTGGTATTTAGATTTTGTGGTTTGTTTTGTTTCCTCTGCATTGACCCTACAAGCAGAAGTCCTCCATTTGTGTTGACCTGCCATTGCTGGGGGCCATCATGAAGCATTTGTTCCACCTGCTGAGCGAAGCAAGCCTGTGGCAGTTGTTTCTGGACGTGGAGATGAGGCTTTGCCCAATTCTGGCAGGTAAATGCTGGACGGGATTTAAGTTTTTTAAGACTCCAGTCCAGGACTAATTACATGGCATCACTAAATGAAGAAATGTGCTAAGCTGAAAGGTAGGGTAGATCATTTGCAGCTATCCGAAAAGTAAGTGATCAAATTATTGTTGAAAAATTACTTGGTTTAAAGATAGTAATGGCAATAAACTACCTGTGAAATGATTCTTTCTGGCATGCTGTCATCTTGAAAAAAAAAGAAAAAAGAAGAAGGCCAGTTCCAAAGATGCGTCAAGTGACACATTTTTGGAAGTTTCCATTTGTAATTGGTTTGTTATTCGGCAAATCTGTGAATGGATGCTTGCACGTGTTGACACAAGTACACGTGTGCGGTTGCTTCTGTTTAGTGCTGTCTGTTTAGTTTTAGTTTTAGTGCGTAGCTGCAATCGGCGGAATGAGAATGTGTGCCTGATGCTGATTTCGGGGGCAATTCTTGTAGAATTCTTGCTTTGACAATTGTGTCTCTGTCTTTTTTTTTTTAAGAAATTGAAAATTAAATTAAATACTATGCTGTCACTTAATGTTATTTCAGTGTTTTGTTTAGAAGGCTTTAGTCTGCACAAGGGATCCTTGTTTTTTTTTCTAATTATATTTTTTTTTTCTCTGCTTGTGAATAATTTAGTGATGGAAGTGCAAGGCATTCGTGTGCAATCGCAGACATTGCAGGAATATGGCAAATTACTGCAGGTATGTGCATCAACTTTTCTAAAAAAAAAAATCTTTCCGTCAGTTTATTTTGTTGGGAATGCTAGTTGAAATTCTAACGTTTTCTGAGTGGCCGACAAGCAATTGTTGATCAGTAATAGTCCTGAACTCAAGATAGTTTGTGTTTTTCTCAAATATCATAACTGTTGATTCCCTTTCTTTTGGTTAACAAGTTTTGTTGCTGACACATGAGCAGGTCAACAGACCTAACAGGCCGACAAGACAAGCCCTCCAAGCAGTGGCCTTTCTTCCTTAACCCTGCTCTTCTTGCTTAATCTTTCTTTGGGAACCTACATTGCAAACAATCTCAAAATTTGGATCCCGTTTTTGTTTTAGAGCAAGAGCCGGCAAGTAGAGTTGGAGGCACATGAGGCTGCAGGCCGCCCTTTCCAAATCACAAGCCACACCCAGCTCAGACAGGTAGGATAAAGACAGCATGCTTAACTTTCAAAAATAGATCCAATGAGAAGATGTATTTTTAAGGTATAGAGTATTTGGCAATGGCTTGCCTTTGGCATTTGTACATTGATCACTGAGTAACTAAAGCTTCAATTGGACTTCAAAAGTGAGAGCAACAGATCGTTTGATTGAACATTTTGAAAATCTTGTAGATTTCTGAGAAATGTAGAGATTGGCATTTATTCTCCTACTCTGTAACTTTGTATTTTTAAGTTCAGAAAACAGAATTCAGTTTCAGAATTAATTCATTGTTAGATGCCACACAGAGAGTCTTCTTCACGGGTTGGTTCATACTTTCACAAATTGTTGACAGCAAAGCATGTTTTTCTGTTAATTGAAAAAATCAAAACATTTTAACAACTTTGAGTAACAACTTTGGCAATGGAGCTTAATCTGAAATAATGTGAGCACAAAGCCCCGATGTTGTGGGTTTCGGGGCCCTAAATTTTGGATTGTAGACGCACTGTGGTGCAATCTGAGGCAATTTCTGACCACTTTAACCAATTTCTTTTGAGCAAAAGATCATCATGTTGGCATCATTTTCGAGTTTGGAGTGAATTATTTTTTTTTTAGCGTGAGAAATCCTGTGTGGACTTGAGAGCGGGAGAATAAACTGAAATGCGTGAGTCTCACGCTCAATGAATGAGAGTTTGCAGGCCAGGTTTTATCTCTGGCAAATCTTTAGTTATATCAAATTTGCAGTTGCATTCACATTTGTATGAACTATGTACTGTGTGTAATGGCAATGATGTCATGATATGATTGTGCCAGACATTTAAGGAGATCTAAATTTCTGTCTAGGTTTTATTTGAGGAGCTTCGTCTTGACAAGAAGTATCAGGGTAGAAAACTTGCCCGGACGAATGTGCTGAACCTGAAATCAACATCTGAAACAGTGGTAAGCCTTATGAATGAACTGGATCTACGTTATTGTCACGATTTTCTTGTCAGTCAACATGACTGTCATTGTTTCAGTGCCTATTCATCAGTTGAAAATTGTCATTGTTGTCATGGTCATTTTGTAGACTTTCATCATCATAATACCCTTATCATTTTGTCATCATTGTTGTTGTCAGTTTTCAGTAGTCAAATTGTAATTGCCGTTGCCATCGTCATTGTCAATGTTAGGCCAAAAAAAAAAAATATTCGGTCTCTGGTCAGACCAAAGTTCCGGAATTGACGCGGCGACGCGGCTTTTTTTTTCTTTTTGCTTTTTTTTTTTTTTCTTCAAGCTTGGATTGTACAGACAAGGTGGGGTACTATTTTGCTTTTTTGGTGTCCTCATGTACATTGGTGTCCTCCATAATTTGCCTTGGTGCTCTCGGTCATTTGCCTTGGTGCAATTTCCCATTCCTTGGTGCTCTTTGGTAAAAAAAAAAATAAGAAGGTACGGCAATAGAGGGCGCTGTTGGAGCTACCGCGGAACATTTTGAAAAAAAAAAAGATTGACGCGCATGATTAAAATCGACGCGCGCGCTGACCAGAGACCGACTTATTTTTTTTTTGGCCTTATTGTCATTGCCATTGTAATTGCAATCGCCATTGTTATTGTAATTGCCATTGCCGTTGTCAACACCATTGTCATTACATTGCCATTATAATTGCCATCACCATTGTCATTGCCATCGCCATTGTCATCACCATTGTCATTACCATTGCCCTCGCCATTTTCATTGTAATTGTCTTTTTCATTTTCATTTTGACTGAAACATCCTTTATTCCTCATTCTAGTTGCTCAAGCTGCAAGACTTACACCCCTTGCCCAAATTAGTGCTACAGTACAGACAGGTAAGATCTTTGCTTGTCAATCATGTTTCTTTTTGTCTGCTTGTCTAATTTCTTTTAATTCTCACTCGATTGAACCATCTTGAAGAAGACCTTACTGAAACAACTTCAAAATTGTTCTGTACAAATAATTTCAGCATATTTTTTTTCTGCATAATTTGTTTATGGTATTAACCCTTTATCACTGTAGCACCAGAAACTGTCTGAGCACTCTATGGTTTTAGTGATTTTTCAGTATAAATACAATTTAAAGGCCGGCTCATACTTCAAGTGAAAGCAAGTGCGAAGCGAAATTCATGTCGTCAACAGTGGTGAACACGCTTCGAACGTATTGTTGACGTCAGGAATTTCGCTTTCGCTTTCCCGTGAAGTATGCCGTGGCTTAATATGCCAGTCTAGATGCTAAAGGGTTAATAAATACACATGTAATTCGTGAGCATATAATTAAACTGATAAGTCACATTTTTTGTCTTTTAAATTCCTGCAGCAAATTAAGTTAACATATGATCTCTAACAATTTTCAAAATGAGGTACATTTGGCACTATTTAAGAAAAATGGTGGTTTTTTTTGCAGTAATCATTAAAATAATCTATATTATACATGTAACATACCAAAAGTCTAAATTGTAAATTTGATTCATTTTCCTGTTTATATTTCCAGATTTAAATACAGAAATTGGAGTAAAATTTGTTTTACAAGTTGTAATCACCAGCAACAGTATTCTAAAAAACCAAAATTCTATCTCACCTTTTAATTTGCATAACTTTGACGTACTCAAATAAAAACGTTTCTAAATCAAATGGGCTAAAATTGAATGTTGCGAAAAACATGAACACTTCTTAAAGGCTGCGATAATTTAAAACATGTTTAAATTTTTCAGAATGAAATTTTTAAATTTTTTCAAAGTGATCAGACAAAACCGGTGCAAAAATTACAGTAAGCACAGATAACTACAATATGCACATTCTAATAAATACTATCAAATATACCCCAAAAAGTAACCATAGCAAAACAGCAACAAAGAATTTAAAATTCTGTTTGACAGATAACATATATAGAAATATACACCCAAGAAAAAATAAGCTGTTCGAAAATACAAGAAGAATAACAAATTGTGAGAGGTCAAATTGTACGCTGAGATGTGTGAGGACATTCCTCTTCGAGTTTACAGGTCCTCACTTGTGGTTGTCTCCATACAATTTATCACAATGGATTATTTTCTTAGCCTTATTGTATTGCTTTTTATTACATGATTTTCAAAGCTTTACTGACATATTTAAATATTGCATATATTACCCCACAATTAAATATAAGACACATATTTATATTTAAGGAAACTGATGGTTTGGCTGTTTCAAAAGTCACTTATTTACATTTGGATTCACTGCTATGCTTTTAGCATGAATTTTTGACAAAATACTGAATTGTTAGACAACAAAGCTAAAGTTCTTGGGATTCTCTTGAGTTCTACCCAAAAGTTGCAAAAGACTTCAAACATTTATCCAAATCTTTAAAAATTATACCAGTGAAACCTTCACATATATACAGAAGCGGCATAAACATAAATTGTAGTGTCATAGAAATTGTGGAAAAATGTTAGTTTTGAAGGACATTGTGTAAATCGCACAAATTTTGATTTCCCCACCTTTTAGGGTATAATTATTATGCAGCAACTATAGGTGAAGTGTGCTTCCAATTTTTGTTATTGCATGAAAAAGTGCAGGTTTAAATAGTTTCCATAGCATGTAGCTAAGGATGTGACTTTGTGTTTAATTTTGTAAACGTTTAGCAAATATTTTAAGAACAATTTGAATGTTTAAACGCTTAGCCATTTCACAAAGGCTGACGCCTGGCCATTATGTTTGCAGACCAGCTTGATTGTCATGGTAAACCAACAATGATTGACGTAATAATAGCGGGCAGTCATTGATAAACGCTAAATTAACAACGTGTACCCCGAATGTAATCAAGTACATATACTGCGATGCTTCTAAGGTTTTGTACATTAAATGGGTTTGAAAACATTGTTAATTATTTGTGCTATGTATGTTTAACTCGAAGGAAGATCACGTGAACGCAGGTCCCTTTTTTTTTATATATAATTCAGGTTTCTTTAAACGTTTTTTTGAATGAATTTTGAATATTTTTCGTTTCAACACATAAAAGTCACATCCTTACATTTAGCTTCCCCGAACCCGACTTAAGCACATTTATCTGCTTCAAGTAAAATCATTCAAACTAGATGTGGGCATGTGCAGTTTGAATATCCAACTGCCGGGCTTACTGGTTTCAAGAAAACTGTAAATTGATTCAGTTTTTGATCTGGTTGTGTAAACAGCTTGCCAAGCTCAAGTCCACCTATATTGATGGAATCCTGGACTGCATTGAAGACGTAAGTAAATTGTGGCCTAAGTACAGGGTGAGTAAAAAAAAAACCGAAACCCAAATGTCGGGACCGTTGTTTTAGTGAAGTTCTGAATGTAGTGCTTTCAAAATCTAGGAAATGAAAGCCTGATTAATAAGCTTTCTTTTAGTACAAGAATCATTCAAATCACTCATGTACTTTTCAAGTTGTGGAATTTTAAATACAACCACTGAAAGAACGCACGCCTTTTTTTTGTGATCCGTGGACAGAACATTAAAACAGTGTTTGTGTTCAAAATTCTGTAACTTGAAAAGTACATGAGTGATTTGAAGATTCTTGTACTAAAAGAAAGCTTATGAATAGGGCTTTCATATCCGAAATTTTGAAAATGCTACATTCAAAACTTCACTAAAACAATAGTCCCAACATTTGGGTTTCGTTTCTTTTTTACTCACCGTGTATTATCAATGGGTGCTTTGGCATGAAAACAACGGTCGTTCATATTTGTTTGAGACTGACCTACCAGAGTCGTACAATTTCTTACGATTTTAATTAACCACATGATAGGTCGATGTGCGAATATTTTAGGAGCCACTTTCTCAAAAAATTTAAGTAATTAAACTTGTTTGGAACAATTCTACAACACCTTGGTTTTAGACGTTCCTTAACAAAACATGAGTGCAGAAACTGTTGTCGGGAACCAAAATCTTGTTTGGGTCAATAGTCTCTGCAAATACTATTTGATAGTCATTGAAGCATGTCTCTGTGTGTGTTTCTTAGATTCTGTTTTTAGTGTGTTTCATTTTATGATATTTAGTCAACTGTTTTGTTTGTTAAAATTGATTAAGTTATACTTGTGTTGGTGTTGGATTTTTTCTGGTGAATTTTTATTCTGATTTTGAGGGTGTTTCCAATGTTTCTTTGCAGAAAATTTAACTGGGGTAGATTTTGTGTACTCGGGCGTCGTTTGCAGCGCTTCCTTCATTGTAAATGCCATGTTATATGTAATGTGCATTTGTCTTTTTATTGATAACATTGTGATGTAGTTTGTATTTTGTAAATTTATATTTAGGGCTATATACACACGAGTTGGGAGCAGACATCAGCTGCTACTGGCCGCTTGCAGTCAGCTAACCCGGTGAGTAGGTCTTGAAATGTTCTCTTCTCGTCTTGACTTATGTGTTCGCAAGTTTCTTCTGTTTAGGAAGTGTTAACTGATGCCAAAAATCAGAATTGGAATTGCAATTAAAATCCATTGTATGCTTGCAGAATCAACCTGGGAATCATTCAAGTATATTTTCATTTTCTTTTTTGATTCCTTGGAAGATTGCAGATTGCAGTTGATCACGGTTGCCCTCATGGATCTATTTTCCCAAAGTTGAAAATTGTCAAATCTTGATGCGAACATGCCTAGTTGGAATACCAGATTGGAAAAAGCTAATGTTAAATGGGTTTTGTCCCTCATGAAAGCCAAATTTTGACACAGTGCATGTACCAGTTCAAATTCACCTTGCGATCCCCACAGAGTTAAAACGAATCAGTCTGTAACACTATCTGGGTTGGATCGCCCCTTTTTAGCAGCTTTTGCTTGTTTTGAAGTCGTTCCTTTTTGTTCTGTTATTTGCAGAACATCCAGAACATTCCCAAACAGCCTGTCTTAATGCACGACCAAACCCAAACAGAGGAAAGCGAGCCAAACAGTACTGCCATTCTGGCCAGGAAACCATTTGTCAGTCGCGACGGCTGGTCGTTCGTTGCCGCAGGTAAACCGAGTCATGTATGTAGTAGAAAAATGAGCACTTATAACATGCATGAGGGTAGCTGTAGGCTCTTGTGTTCTTGTGCACTTGAAGTTACCACCATTTCAGTTTGTTAATAATCGTTTTGCACGCATCACGCAGGACCTGTCTGTGCTCTGTTTGTGTAAAGGTCAGAAACACCGCCCCCAAAATCATTTGCAGCATTGACAGAACAGACAAAATGTACGCCAAAGTTTTACCAGCATCCGAAGTGTGACTTTGTTGAAAAATAGCTATGTTAAGAACAACGATGCATGGCACCCATGCAAGGATGATTGTGGTAAAGTATATGCATGAGTACCATGTTGATTTGGATGGTCGCGCATGCTGGGGTCGTATGGCCTGGTTATTGTCATTTGTTGGGTTGTTGGTGGCAATGTTTCCGAGGTTAATTCTCTCGGCTTTGATCTGACGCTGCTGCTTTCTGGCTATGCTCACCAGTCCATAAAGACAAGCGGTCATCATCAATATACTTGGTACTAAATGTACATCCAACAACACAACTACCCAAGTCAAGAAATTAACATTCAGGAACATTTCATTGAATGAAATGTGATCATTGCTGAAATCACTCAAACTTGCAGCAAATACGCCAATGAAAGTCACTAAGAACAGAACCCACTCAGCCAGAATGAGGCAGCCGCATAATTTGTTGGACATTAAACGCATGTACTGCATGGGCCTGGCAATTTTGAAAAATCGATCGGCTGCCACTGTGGCTGAGGCTGGGAAATAGCCACAGATTGCTACAACTGTGAACAACTGTATTGCCAAAAGTAATGCTTTGGGGTGACAAGAATTATTTCCGAGTGAAATACCGACAGTCTTCATTAAAACCCAAATCAATTCATTGACAAATAAACTCACCAGAAAAAAATTGGACTCACTTCGGAGTCTGCGACTAAAAGCCACTGAGAAAATGACCCAGAGGTAAATAAGTCCTATCATGAAACCACCTACTGACAGGCAGACTTGTGCCGGAAAGGAAATCATAAAAGAATCTACAGTGCAGTTTGTTGTCATATTGTTTGCACAAACGTAAAACTGCAAAGTCCCATTCAAATTGAAAATCCCTTCTTAGTACAAACTTCTCTTTTGTTACATCAAAACCGTACCATTTGCCAACTGGTTGTTGGCAAAATACTTGCAGGCCACTTTTGCCAAAATAAAATAATACAAAAATCTAGTTTTAAAAAACCTTTCAACTGTTGAAAATACTGAATAATCAACATACACTTCTGGGAACTAAATGGATATGTCTCTTTTGTAAATACTCAGGATGTAAATGCATCTGTTTGGCAAAGTCTGTTTCCAACCATGGTTTGAATTTATTACAATTGCTTGCCACACAAACAAAATGGTGCTCAATGTTTTGGAAAGAAAAGTCTAAAAAGTTTTTTTTCAGGAAGTGAATTCCTACCTGAATTCTTAATACTTCACCGATTCTGTTTTCCTCTTCCTTGCAATCAGTCAGTTGGTATTTATATCACTCTTTGAGACACCGTCTTGCCACGGAAATCCTGTAGGACAGATCCATTCACATAGCTGTTCTGCAGGCCTATAAAGTTGAACTAATATTGGAATTCTGTAAGTTTACCTCCACACTGTCAGTCAGAGACTGCAATGAATGACCGAGTGGATTCCGTTAGCTGCGCTTGCATTTAAACATGTTTTCTTTTTTACAGAAACAATGGCAATCCAATTCCTTTGTAGTTCCACCATGCACGTAGCCTGCGGTCTTAACTAGAATCATCAAGTCATTTACATTTTCCTTCACCAGATTCCAGTAAACTGTTGTTGTAAGCTCGCTTGCTATTTAAGTCATCCAGTGCACTTCATTGCACTTAAAACTGTCACGAAGTCGCAAATATGCAAACGAAATGATGCACACATCTCTGTGTTGTTAACTGTATTGTTAATTCTGTTGTATCTGGGTTTGAAAACAGTTCTGAGGAGGTTGTACAAAGCTGGTCACCTTAATGCTTCCAGAAGGGGAGGATTATTCCTTGTGTACATGTACCACTTTGACGAGCCTCACTTTGAAAGTAGTCGCATAGAAGTGGAACAGCTCAGGATAAACAAGATTCTGCTAATTCAGTCTCCTGACTTGAGGAGCTAGTTGAACCATGACGAAGGGAATGAGATGGCTCTCTTGAAAACCATAAGGTGCAAGCTCACAATATGTAGGCCCATCAGTGGTCTGGTGCAGTATATTCCAGTGGATTTTTTTGTAGTCCCAAAGATCTCTGCCACAGTCTCTGTTCAGTTCCAGAGGACCAAACTAAGGCGGCTATCAGTTGTTGAGGAACTGAGCTCAAGATGCAGCGATATCTGGATTCAGGCGAAGATCCTTCTCCTTCAGTATTGACTTCAGTAGTGACAAGGGCCTCACTGTGAGTGGTGTGTTTAATAAGTTTTGCAGGATGTTTTCCAATCATGCCACTCTCTGCAGTTTTGTGGGAGGTTGTCCAATCATACCATCAATCATGATCAGTGATGTTATTGGGTTGTCTACCCGCAGGCAATATTGGGAGTAAACACAAATCATAGATGTCTTGACAGATATTAAAGTCTGGAATTATAACTGATGGATCACATATTGGTGCTGTGATTATTAGTAGGAATAATTGCTTAGGAATTGATTGCTGTCAGTGCTGGCAGTCAGTGCTTGGAGAGATACTAAAGTTTGGATTTTATAATTGATGAATAACAACTTGGTGTCTTACTTATTGCAGATTAAATGTGTTGGCTGTGGTTAGAACTTTGTTGGTACAAAAACTTCAGGTCCGCCTTTGTTCAGTAGGTGAACTTAGGTAAATTTGTAGACTTCACTTTGTGGTACATTCTGTGGAAGTAGGCGTGGTTTCGCTGAAACATCTCTAAAGATGTTTTACCCTTGTCTTAATAAAACAAAGTGTCATTTTTTGGGGGGTATTATAGATGTTGGGTTTATCATTATGGGTGCCCCTGTTCACGTGCAGTTGAAGTTAGGTGCATTTCATTTTGTTGATTATCATTTTGCACGCATCACGCAGGACCTGTCTGTGCTCATTTTGTGTAAAGGTCAGAAACCGCGCCCCAAAAATCATTTGCAACATTGAAGGACCAAACAACAAAATTAACGCTGTGGTTCTTACATACATGAAACGTATGTTGCAAAATTGTTGAAAATTAGCGATGTTTACAACAATTATGCATGGCACCCTTGCAAGAATGATTGTGGTAAAGTATATGCATGAGTACGGTACCATGTTGATTTGGATGGTCGCGCATGCTGGGGTCGTGTGGTCTGGTTATTGTCATTTGTTGGATGTTGGTGGCAATGTTTCTGAGGTTAATTCTCTCAGCTTGATACGACTCTGTGAAGTCATGTAAAATTACATGAATTCTGATATAGGCCTTGTGAGAAGGTGACGTAGCACACCAAACATTTTTGCATTTACGTCATTTACAGGTTTTTTAAACTGAGAAAGCATTGCTCATTGTATGAGACTTTCAGCTATTGACACTTCAGTTTGTTCACGACACTTTGGTAGGCATTCCGCAGGACCAATCTATGCTCCTTTTGTGTATACGTCAGAAACACTGCCCCAGCAATTGATTGAAATAAGGCAACACCTTCCAGAAGAAAAAAGGTCGTGAAATGCGCTTGTGTTGGTTGTGTAAAAAATACAACAACATTGAGATAGATAACAGTTGGTAACCAGGCTATAATAGTAGTGGCAAAATATGTGCAAGAATACCGTGTTGATTTTGACGAGCGCTGTTTGGGGGGTCGCACTGGATTTTGATTTTCATTGGTTGCAATCTTTCCAAGGTTGATGGTTCCCGCTATGATCTTGCGCTGTTGATTTCTGGCAATGCGAGCCAGCGCAACCACAAATACTGTGAGTGCAATCAAACAGGGAAATGATGTTATGTCTAACAGCAGAAATAGTTTAAGCATGAATGTCTTATTTGAAAGCATGTCATTAAGTGAAATGTAGTCGTTTTCAAAATCACCTAGGGTACCTACGAATACGCTAATACTAGTTGCAACTAAGAAAACCCACACGGCCAGAATAATGCCACCTGCAACTTTGTTACTCATCAGACGCAGGTACTGCATTGGTCTAGAAATTTTGAAATATCTGTCGGCAGCAACGATAACGGAATTAAGGAAGTATCCAAGCGTAAGCACAACACTCACGCATATCAGCAGTACTTGCAGAGATTTACAATATTGAGATTTAAAGCCCAAAAAGCCTGTGACAGTTACCACCACAATACTGATGAATTCATTGACAAGTACGCTCACCAAGAAATAATTGGATTGACTGTGCAGCGTACGACAGAAAGCCACAGAGGAGATGATCCAGAGATAAATAGGACTGACAATTGTGGCAATGACAATAATTGCCATGATCATAATAATGGGTACATGTAAATCAGGCACGATGACGGCAGCTTCGGTACTAAACGAGTCATTGAGCTCCATAGTTGCTCTGCTATAAATTGTAGGAAAATTACTCTGTGAACAGTTCTCTGTTTCTAACAAAGTTTCAACTCCCCTTGTCCTGTTTCTTTGTCCTCCTAAAATGTTTGGTCTCTGAGCATCGTATTGACAGTATCGACAGTGTTAAGATTCATAGAGAAAAGGGTTTGCAGCCTTGTTGTATAGTCTCTTCTACTTGTCCTTCCAGTCTGTCAGGCAGGACTGATGCATTCCTCCTCATGGCCCAAAATCCTCCTGATGTTGCTGTGCAGATATGTAGGATTCACTGAGTTTCTGTAGACATTAATCGTTTTTTTTATCCAATGTGGACAAGTTTATTTCATCAACTTGGTTTGGTGTTTCACGATGGTACAAGATGAAATGTACTTGTTGTCCAAGTAAGTTCTAGAACATGTCCTTTATGCAGATGTTATCAAGACCAGTATCCAATCATTTACATACCTCCCTTCTTTCAATGTTTTTAAGTGTT